TTCCCAAGAAATGCAACAAGAGTGAAATTTAACCTGAATTGCATTTATCGTGAGCAGCCGCCTTGACATAATCGCACGATCGTCTGCAAGTCTCATCGCTAGCTGTCAATCATTGTGCATGCAAAGCACGCATCACAGTTTGACAGCCACTGCGCAGACGACGTGCCCAGCCCAGCGCACCGCAGCCCAGGCCCAGCCCAGCCRCAGCAGACAAAGTCGCTTCCTCTTCCTCTCTGCTGCGTGTTTGGAGCACAACAAATACTAATAAAAATGAAAAAAAAAAAAAAGAACTACAAAACTGTCGACTACATATTTACACACATTACAACGACAACGGCACACACACACATGTACACGATAATTTCGTCTCTTTGTGTCCCCTTGCTCTTTGTCTTCTTTCAAATTGTTTTGTTTGCCAACAACAACAGCAGCTCCATTTCTTGTTTAGCTGCACAGCAACACTGGCGCAGCAGCAGCTGCTGCAACTATCTTTCACTGCGCAGCTGCCAGTGTTGCGGTTACTAACTTTTGCTGTTGCTCTTCTATTCTTATTGCCGAATAGCAACATAAATTATTGCTGCTCTTTTTGTATATTCTCATTTAGTGGTAGCTTTTATTAACTCTTCTTTTCTAATTTTGATTAGTTGCTAACATTTTCTGATATTCACTAATATTTGCTACTACGTTTTTTGTCTTTCCATTCCTTGTTCTATATCTTTCTCATTGCATCTGCTGCTGCCTACGTAGGTTTTTATCTTTTACTTGTCCTACGTTGCTTCTTTTATGGTTCGCATAGTTATCCTCATTATTTCTACTGCCTTAAGTTGATTATTTTCTTTTCCACATTTTTGCAGCTTGCAATTATTTTAAACAATTTCCTGCACGTCGCCGAGACGATTTTGTCTGCCTGCCAGCTGCAGGCGCAGTTGCAGTTGCAGTTGCCTATTTTCATCTCTTTTGTCTAGTGCTGCTGCTCGTTGTTTGCTTTACGTGACATTCGTCTTAATCACGTGCTGGCGACTGCAGTGAAAACGAAATGACTTTTGGCTGGAAGCCGTGGAACGCAAGGGACGGGTTGGCGTGGAAGGAAGATTGAAAGGAGTGGGAGTAGCACAGACCACAACAACAAATCGTTTTAGGAAACGTTGACAGCCAGCCAGCCAGAAGGCCCGCCCCCGCCCTCCCTCATACATCCTCTCCTGGACTCCACTCCACTAACATCCTCGAGGGTTGTTGGCAAAAGCAAAAAGAAAAGAAACGAAACGAAGGCGAAAAAAATGCTTTATGGCGCTCATTGATTTCTTTCAAGTGGTTATTCGAAACGACGTTGCCACCTTTTGCCAGTTGCGTTCTCTGGGGTTGCAGATTTACAAAGGTTCTTCCGTCATCATCATCATTTTCTTCTTCTTCTTCTTCTTCTCATTCACCTTTATTGGCACAACATAATTCACAAATATTTAGCAACAAAACGACTTCATTATGTACTGGAAGGTGGAGGGTCTCATTATGATGTTCACACCAAAAGGGGCGAATGGCTTTAATTGCTAATTAGTCACGCCCACGCACGCTCGCACAGACAGACAGAGAGACGGACAGAGCGATGACTCAATTGGAAAGCCGTCGCAACGCATTGAACCACAAACTAAACTTTCAGCCAAAGATGGAAGTTCAACTGGAACATAAGTGAACTACATATAAGGAACTGGAACTGATATACGATATGCGAAATAAAAGAGGAATAAGAGCAACTAAAGTTGGTCTTTGCATAGACCCAGTACCAATATTTGGAAAATAAAATACAGTATAGACATGTTTGCTTTAGTTCATAGAGCTACTCCCAAATCAAAAATTTTATTCTTTAGTTCAGAGAGCTGGTAGTTAAGTTTTCGGCGCAACTCAAGAATCTGTGAAAATCTTTTCTTAGTTATAGTTCTTAGAACAAGTTCTTCTCAATATGTATTTTTTACTAAATACATACATAAATATGCTCTTAATTTACTTTTGTTCTTGCATTGAATGAAATTTTATTTATTTAAAATTTCTAATCAGTTGAAAAGTTAAAAAAAAAATGTTATCAGCCAAAAGACGCAATAATAATTCCATGCGGGTTTAAAAAAATATTTAAATTTTTTTATTGTATATACAGACGATAAAAATATATCAAAAAAAACATAACTATAATAATATGTAAATATCAGACAGACTATAAAATGCAAAAAAAAATCTAATAATAAATAAACACTTCTATTAATAACAATGAACTAATAAAAAAAATTATTTTTAGTTAGGAACACAATTTATAATTAAATTTTTCTAGGGTTGACTATATAAACGACACCAAAAAAGAGAGATGAAATGCAAGTAGAAGAAAGGACGCGCACAGCTGAAAATCGAAGTCCTGCATCGATTTTACTTATTAAAACAGATGGTTCGCTCATCAGGGTAGTTAAATGGGTGGGTGTATGTGTGTGTGTGCGTATGCGCCTCTGTGTGTATTGACTGCACTTTTTGGGCACAACAAAAACGAAAGTTGGCTGAACTTGAAACAAGCAGGAGGAACGCCTGAAAAAAAAACCACCCGAAATGCGAATAGTGCAGAATGCAAATGGAAAAGCAGCAAAAAAAAAAAACAGCTGCAATAATTACGGTTCCTGATGAGAGAGAAAGAGCGAGACAGAATGAGTGAGAGTGGCGCAGGGGAGAGGCAAGCAGGAGAGCAATGGCAAGTGCGTGCAAACGCAATAAAAAGTCATAAAACGGCTGTAGATGGACACAAAAAAAAAGGGAGAGGGGAAAAATAGAAGGATAGACAGACAGGAAAGAGAGCAAGAGCAAGCAAGAGAGCAAATATGCGGCGGGCTGCTGCAAATTATTGATTTTCAAGCGAACAAAAGGAGATTTTAGCATAAAAGTAAGGACCCCAACCGCACCCAACGATTGGGGGTTGAGTAGATTAAAAGATTAGTAACGCACCTGCAATAACAGTATCCGTGAGGGCGAACTTGGCACCCGTTTTGGGAAAATCCTTCAGCTTTCGATTGGTCAGTATCAATTCGCCGCTAAAGTGCGCCTCCTCGAGGATTCGCTCCAGCGAGCGCGTCAGCTGCGAGTGCCCCAGCATGGGTGATGCTCCACCTATGGGGGCGGGCGACGTTGTGGAGGCGAGGAGGCTACCGCCACTGTGTAGGCGCTTGTACACTGTGGCTGCCATGCTTTGTACGTGTGTCTGTTGTTAGTGTGGGCGTGGTAGCAGAGACGCTGGCGACGGCGTCACACACACAAACAAATAACTACAGCAGCACCAACAACAGACAACAACGGCGACGACAACTGCAGCGAACTACAAGCAAAGAAGAGCTGTAAAATGCGTTAGCATTTTCCTACTGTGGCACCAACTAAAAACTCATTGATAAGATTTCCAAGAAACGGTTTTTCCTTTGCGGCTTCTTTCTTTCTCACACGCACGTACACACACGCGCGCGCCTTCGCACAAACACAAAAACACACCCGAGAATCGAGCGAAGCAGCAGCGGAAACCAAACGCACGCCACGAAATTAAAAAAAATACTGATACAACGAACTAACCAGTGTTGCCAGATTAGCTATTTAATAGCATTTTTAGCTATTTTTGAACCCTAARTGCTATGAAAATTTTGAAAATGCTATTAGCTATAAATTTAGCTATTTTACAAACGAATATTTTGAATTTAATTTTAGTATTTGAAGCCAAAAAAAAAAAACATTTTTCGATTAAGTCCCAAATTGTACGTAATGATCTGCGCGANCAGAAATTTCGTGATTCCTGGAAAACAATCACCGAATTTAAGAATTGGATTAAGGAGGATGAGTCGGACAACAGGCGGGCGTATTGTATATACTGCAAATGCAGTGTTTTTGCCAAATTGCACGATATTAAAATGCATGCCGCGACAAAAAAGCATAACACATTTTCCATGATTACATTTAAACATGATTCCAGTTAATCAAAAATATAATTCTGATGATGATTTGGATGTGGACCAAATTGTAACATTATTAAATAACATTTAAAAATAAAATTTTAAGTAAATGCATAATGCATAAAGGTTTCAGCTATTTTGAAAGCTATTTTAAAATTTGTTTAGCTATTTTCAGCTATTTTTTAGAGACGATTTTGCTATTTTTATGTCTCAAAACCTGGCAACACTGGAACTAACAGTGTGACCCAACAGTGTTAGGCAGAAATTCACACTATTTCAAACAATGTCAGAGCATGGTATTTTAAAACGACTCACAGTATTTTAAAATGTCATTGTTAAATGAGCTTATACTTTAAGGTTTTGTCCCCGACGGATAAATAAACGATCATAGATAATATTCTATTTCAATAAATACTTTCATTTTACATATATTTGACATAATTAAACTTCTTTCTATTTTAATAATTAATTTTTATGTTTTATATATTCCAATGCCAATAATGACACTAATACCATTTCCATTCGCATTTATTTTAAGGAATAATTTGAATTGACCGCAGTTCCAGTTGAATATAAAAAACTTTTGAGTTTGAATAATCGATATGTTCAGCCAACTATCGACTAGCTTCTACATTTCAACGATAGTCAACAATTAATAGCCGCTCAGTTAAAAAAAAAATACTCACATGGCACTGTAAGCCAATATTTTTATTTAAATGCAGAAGCTATATATTTGTGTCACTAAAACACTCATCGTGCAGAGCTACCAACTAAAATACACATACATTTTGGTCTTATCTTAATTGAAATTGACATACTACCGGCTTGAACAAATCCCATACTATATCCTGGCATTTAACAAACCGCTTTCTGTTATAACTTACTGCAACTTTGAATAACATTTCGAGCCCATTTGGAGTTAACAGTCGCAGTATTCTGCAAAGCAACAACAACGTCGAATCAGAATGGGTGACAACGTGGTGACGGAATTAAATAATTTGGATTTGAATAAGCAAAAGGCATGTTAAAATTATTACAACTGGATCACAAGTGTATTGTAAACTAAACATAATTAAGTAATGTTAAAAGTGTTGCCGTTCGTGGTTGCATTTAGAGGCAGCAGATATAAAACCTTGCACAATATCCGAGCCGTGCCGCTCTCCAAAACGCAACAGCGGTCAATACAACAAGAACAACAGCAAGGCATACGCAGCGATCGGTGCTACGCAACTTTGGTTGGTTTTCCCGCTCCCAATTGTGTTTTCTATCTAACTATTTAAGTGTTATTGCCACATCATATACGCATAGGCATGACTTTGTGTGCGTGTGCTTCTACACGTGTTTGTAGATGTATGTGTGTGTGTATGTGCATTGTCATGTGTATATCAAATGCATATGCCAAAATGAATCACAGCCGCCGGCAGCCATGACGTCACTAACTCAAATTACATGCGTGAATGCCTGTCCTTCTGCCACACTGACTTAACCTGTCTGCCCTATTGCATCAGTTTCTTGCGAAAGCAGATAAAGCAAAGAGCCGAAAACACTGTTATTGTATTTTTTGTTTTCGTGTGTGACAACTGTGCAAACGACAAAACACGAAAAAAGAAAACACACACAAAAATATCATTAAATATAATTGCTTTCCTAACTGTGTATGTTGTCTACGTAGCATCAAAGATAAAAGAAATTTTTTAGAATTTTGTATTGAGTTTTATTGATTTATTTTTTGTGCTCATTGCAGGCGGCTAAAATGAAGAAGGAGAAAAAGGAAAAGCCAGCTGCAGGCGGCGGCGATAGTCGCAAAGGTAATTTGATTTAATTGTAAAACAAGTACAGTGAATGCTCATTATGATAAATAGATAATCGATATTATCCTAAGTATTCGAAACAAGATTTGCCGATATTCGTCTGCATACATCAAAGCTTTCATTACTTTTTATTATTATATTATATTACCAACATTATCTTCAATCCATAGAGCTCAATCCATGGCCACAGTACATCGAGGAGCGAAATGTCTTCTGGAATAAATGCAAGGCCGAGTATGAAGCCGAATTGGCAGCCAAGCCGCGCACACCCATCAAAGTCACATTGCCCGATGGCAAGCAGGTAGACGCCACTGCCTGGGAGACAACACCTTATGAGGTTGCCCGTGGCATCAGCCAAGGTCTCGCCGATAATACCGTCATATCGAAGGTGAATGGCGAAGTTTGGGATTTGGATCGTGTGCTCGAGGGCGACTGCACTCTGCAGCTGCTCAAGTTTGACGATCCGGAAGCACAGGCAGTCTTCTGGCACAGCTCCGCTCACATTATGGGCGAGGCCATGGAACGAATCTACGGAGGACATCTGTGCTATGGTCCGCCTATTGAAAATGGCTTCTACTACGACATGCATCTGGAGGGCGAGGGCGTAAGAAGCTAAAGCTTACCAAACATGCATATTTAGTAGTGACCAAATCCTTCTCACACAGATCTCCACCAACGACTATGGCACCATGGAGACGCTGATCAAGCAAATTGTCAAGGAGAAGCAGAACTTTGAGCGTCTGGAGATGAAGAAATCGGATCTCCTAGAGATGTTCAAGTACAATGAGTTCAAGGTGCGCATTCTCAACGAGAAGGTGACCTCAGATCGCACCACGGTCTACAAGTGTGGCTCCCTGATTGATCTATGTCGCGGTCCGCATGTCCGCCACACCGGCAAGGTGAAGGCCCTGAAGATTACCAAGAACTCGTCCACATATTGGGAGGGAAAAGCTGATGCCGAGACACTACAGCGTGTCTATGGCATCTCATTCCCAGATCCCAAGCAGCTCAAGGAATGGGAGAAACTGCAAGAGGAGGCAGCCAAGCGGGATCATCGCAAAATTGGCCGTGAGCAAGAGCTCTTCTTTTTCCATGAACTGTCGCCCGGTTCGTGCTTCTTTCAGCCGCGCGGCGCACACATCTACAACACGCTGATGAACCTGATACGCGGCGAGTACAGGAAGCGCGGCTTCCAGGAGGTCATCTCGCCAAATATCTACAACGCCAAGCTCTGGATGACATCCGGCCACTGGCAGCACTATGCGGACAATATGTTCTCGTTCGAGGCGGAGAAGGAGAAGTTCGCATTAAAGCCGATGAATTGTCCTGGTCATTGCCTGATCTTCGACAATCGTAATCGCTCCTGGCGCGAGCTACCGCTCCGCATGGCTGACTTTGGTGTGCTGCATCGGAATGAGTTGTCGGGCGCTTTGACTGGATTGACACGCGTTCGCCGTTTCCAGCAGGATGACGCGCATATCTTCTGCGCTCCTGAGCAGATCAAGAGCGAAATGAAGGGCTGTTTGGACTTTTTGCGGCATGTGTACACCATCTTTGGCTTCTCCTTTCAGCTGGTGCTGTCCACTCGGCCAGACAAGTATCTGGGTGAACTGGATCAGTGGGACGCCGCTGAAAAGGCTTTGGCCGAGTCACTCAACGAGTTTGGCATGCCCTGGAAAGAGAATCCCGGCGATGGTGCCTTCTATGGTCCGAAAATTGATATTACCATTATGGATGCACTGAAGCGTCCATTCCAATGCGCCACAATACAGCTGGACTTCCAGTTGCCCATTCGATTCAATCTCAACTACATAGCTGATGATGGTGAAAAGAGACGTCCAGTTATCATACATCGCGCCATCCTTGGCTCTGTAGAGCGCATGATTGCTATACTCACGGAGAACTATGCCGGCAAGTGGCCCTTCTGGCTTTCACCACGTCAGGTTATGGTCGTCCCAGTGGGTCCGGCTTACGATGAATATGCCAAGACGGTGCGCGATGAACTCTATGCTGCCGGCTTTATGAGCGAAGTCGACTGCGATGCTGGCGACACGATGAACAAGAAGATTCGCAACGCTCAACTGGCACAATTCAATTTCATTTTGGTCGTTGGCGACAAGGAGAGATCCTCGAAAACGGTGAACGTGCGCACCCGCGACAACAAGGTGCACGGCGAGGTGTCTGTGGCGGAACTGATTAGCAAGCTGCAGAAGATACGCGACGAGTTCATCACAAACGAGGATAGCTTCTAGGCCACCACGCACCCTGCATACTCCCCCTAACAAAATATAATTCTCTATTTATATGTATATCAAGCTTATGTATACCTTAGCGCTTTGCATAGCAAACGACCGGCATTTCTTATTCAGTTGTATTTACGCTTACATCAACGAAATCCTCAAAATAAATTATATAGCCTCAACACAGAGGCAAACCAATGATTTAAGATCTTGAATATGTTAAGAAGAAATGGGAGTATTTGAGATAGATTAAGTGACAGATGGAACTGATGAACGATCTTGAACATGTTTAGAAGAATGCGGAATATGAATAAAGTGACAGTTGGAACTATCTCAAGATCTGTTCTTTTCTTCATTCGTGATCATAACTCGGTTTGAATGAACACCATATATAAATATTTTCTATACAGATAGATAGCTTCGTTACCCATTGATTTATGAGTGTGTGGGAGCTTCATGCTTATCGTAGAGGTTTGACTAGCTAATGGAAATTGTTCGATAAGAATGAGCCACGTTATGAAGTGAGTCACTCATATGCACGAGGTGGGTTTGAAAGCTTAGATATTTTAAATAAATGTTTGGACTTCTAACTCTCAGCGCGGAAGTCCAATAATTTCTCATTAAAAAATTAGGCTTTAGTTTTTTTTTTTTTCTTTTAATTTATTGCTAATACTTATTATGATTAGTTTTTCATAATTTGATTTATTAAAAATTGCGTTTCGTATTTTTTTTKTTTTTTTTTTTTTTTTTTATATCAATTTTGTAAGCTTTTGCTTGTTTGCGTAAAAAATGCACAAAATTCTTTCTCGCTAATCGAAGCAAAAATTGTTAATATTGTTTTATAAATTGTTAATTGTTTACACTGCCTGTTTCATAAAAATACATATCATATATATTTATTCATAAGATGCCAAGTTCTGCGCCGATCCCAAAATAAAAATAAACAAAAACAAACAAATACATATATAGGTCTTGAAACGCAAACAGAAGCCGCAAACAAAACGGGGGCTTAGTCATAAATGGGACCATGGTTCTGATGGTTCGGTTGGGAAGGAGGGCGTTGACGATCCGTTAAGGCAGGGGGCGAGCGGAGTTTCGGCTTGAACACAAGCTGGCTCTCAATGGTATCTGTGGGTCAGGGAGTGGAGGTGGAAACAAGGGCAACCAGCACACTACTTTGGAATGTTCTTTGCGTGTGTGTCTAAAGTTTGTTTGCTTTTCTCTTCTTTTTCTTTTTCTTTCTCATTCTCTTTTCTCTATAAATTTTTCTTAACATTTTTGTAAGTACAAGTTATGAGTGGATAGAGAAAGAGAAGGGGAGAGTGGGTTAGGCTGTGTTCACACGTGCCAGTTAGGCTATAGTATGATATATATGTTTATATATATAATATAGTATATATATATAAGACCTATATATATAGATGATATCATACTATAGTATGTGTAGTATATGTTAGATATCGTGAAATCTACAAAAGCTGCTCAGCTATAAAGATAATCAAAACCTCATTTTCTTATCAGTGAAACGAGATGCTTTTGCAAAGTATAAGAAGTCTCTGATCTTATATATCCTTCCGATTTTTCAAATAGTTTTGATTTTTAAATTAGCTTCAATTTAACGAGCGACCCCTTTCGTTGTCAACAAGCATATTATATAACGCTCCAATTTGAAATGAACTTAATTTAATTACAATATTTGTTTTTTACATTTTGTCATATTGTTTGATAGCAAATGAAACGGTTTACTTTGCGAGCGAACACTGTAGTTATCATTAGTCAGTAAGTTGAGGCTACATTTTACAATAAACTAGTTTAATTATGCTGAACGCTTGTTAAGGCCTCGGCCGAGGCACATCTGAACATAGCCTAACTCAATCATTTCAGCTTGGATTATTAGGACTAGGCGCTTACTTATATTGCAATGCAATTCGATTTAACGTACATATTTAGCCGATTGCGTTAAATTAATTGTTTAGTCTATTTTTATGTTTTGCTATCATTTTCGTTTTATACGTTGCTTCAGTAAGTTATTAACTTCTTTCTTCCTTTGTATAAATATAAATAAACTTAAACATAAAATCGTGTGTTTTTTGTGTGTGTGCATCTCAAGTTTATAGCCTGGTTTATGTTTTCGTTTATTTTGTCTCAATCTTGTTTAAGCATATTCATCATCATCATCATCATCATCATTGTTCTTGGTGTTGTTGTTGAAGCCCGTTGCCCACATACACCTGGTCTACACACCTGGATGTGCCAGCATGTATCAAGGTGCGAAGGTTGTCGAGGTCGTAGCGGAGTTCTGGGTGCGGGTAAATGGAGGCTGGTGGTTGTGAACGTGGTTGCTGGATCGAGGATTGGTTTGGGAATGGGCTAGTTCTAGCAGGCGCAGCCTCCCTCGGGATCCTTAGTCTCATTGGGCGAGTCCTTAAGCACAACCTCTTGCATATCTTCGGAAGGTTTATTCTCCGTTGAGTCCATGCCAGGCAGCGCCGCTGCCACACGTCTAAATAATTGTTTCACGTTGTAACCGGCCTTGGCGCTGGTCTCGATGAACATCACATTTAGATCTTTCGCCTTGCGCTCACCCTCCTCGGTGGACACCTGACGTTTGTCGGACAGATCCGTTTTGTTGCCAACGAGCATGATAATGACGTCACTGCCCCGCTCCGTACGAACATCATCGATCCATTTGGAGGTCTGATGGAATGAGTTTGTATTCGTGATATCATAGACAACAACAGCGACTGTCGAGTCGCGTATATAGGAGGGTATTAGCGAACGGAAACGCTCCTGACCGGCTGTATCCCACAATTGCAGTCGCACTGTCCGATCCTCCAGGTACATCGTTTTGGATAGAAAATCAATACCAATTGTCGCCTGGTAGGTGTTGTCGAAGCTGTCATACATGAATCGTGTAATCAGCGACGTTTTGCCCACACTCTGCTCGCCCAGGAACACCAATTTGAATTTGCGCAACGGATTGCCAAAGTCGCCGGATGACATGTTTACTTATTTGTGTTTTCGGTTTCGGTTTCGGTTTCTGCTGCTTTTGCTGCTCTGCTGCTGCTGCTTCTACTATTTCAACTCTTGTACGTGTCGACTTTTTCTTAATTGCGAGTTTGCTGACCTCTCCTCGCCTCTCTCTCGTTCACACACTCTCTCTCTCGCCCACCTATTGTTTTGCTATTGGGGCGTGTTACTTATGCGGCTTCTATTATACACGTTGCACTTTGAATATTATGCATATAGATATATTGATGCACGCACTTTATAATCTGATTATGCTTAGCACTAAGTTCAATTATTAACGTAGTAGTATTAACAAAATTTTCGTAGAAAAAGTCAGCCACCAAGTCGATCTGAGTCAGTTGTAGGGATGGCTATCGATATACTATATCGATACATGAACTTTAGAGTCAGTTGTGAAAAATGCAGAGAACGCAAAAATACCGAAAACATGATGCATACGAAATACTAAGTTGTCACAGCGCGGCACTAACGGACAAAAATTTAAAAACAAAAAAAAAATTTTTTTGTTGATGATATAATCAAAAGTGTCGCAAATGTTACTGAAACCCTTTGATTTCGGTTAGGGCTTATCAATAAATCAGAATATTTGTTAGCAATCCACTTGAGATATCTGACTTGTGTGTAACTGTAATGCTTCTTATATATA